ATATATATATATGTGTGTGTGTGTGTATTTAAATGTAGCATTTGGAATGAGTTGAGTCTGTGTGAGCAACATTTTTTATATCAGTATTTCAGGAGTTATTGTAAGAAGCTGTTATAATCTAATTACATTGTGAAGTGATTAATTAAGCTGGTGGTTGCAAAAATATGAGAATCTGCATACTTTTACAAGTAAAGGTGAAGACAGATACAGATGTATTAATTAACAGGAGAATTACTTTTTGGCACTTTTTTATGTCTTAACAAATTGTTTCTAGCATTCCTGTACTTAACCGTGAAAGAATATAATCGGTTACACGTCATAGTTTTTATTTTATCAGTTTAAGCAGCACTGCAAATTTTCAAACAGAGGTACAATTTCTCTATGCAAAAGGGCGTCATGTATTGTTTTTCTGTCACTTCTACCTCAAGTGCACTCTCTTTCAGCCTATACTGTCGGACAGGCAAACACAATCAATGAAGCTCCTGTATGTGTGTATGTACGTGTGTGTGAGTCTCACCTGTTGCTCTCCTGGGATTTAGTGTTTGCTTAATCTGCCCAAGAGGAAAATGAACACACTCGCATGTGAACTCGTATGATTACACTCAGAGGGTCCTCTCATAGCCGTGCACATATACGCACACACAAACATGAGCGGTCCTCCTCAGACCTGTCATCTCTAGGAAATCACCAGGGATTAGGCTTCTGTCGATTCACAAAACCAACAGTGATAACATGGCCTTACACTTCTCTCAAAGAGGGATCAGCTCTCCACGTGTCACTCTGATTGGCTGAGGTACTTTAGCCGATTGTCAGGGGCATTTACAGGCTCAGTTTGTGTGCCCCTCTGAAGCACAAATTTACACTGGGTTGTACTGTCTTAAAGGTTATTTGTCCAAGGAAAATGATTGGTGAATTACACTTCTTTTGCTGTCAGTCAAAGAAAGCACGTGCAGTGTAATGAATGATTATTCATATTCAAGCAAAGGCAGGCATTATGCCGAAAATTATGTAGTAATTAATTTTAAGTAATAGTTATTCATCTAAATGTGTTCTAATTTCCACCCCCCCCACCAAAATAAGTCATTATATGTGTTTAAACCAAACATTTGCCACTATCTCCCAGTAAGTTTCATGAGCTTACAGAGAAAGAAAAAAATATTTATTTTCTTTGTAACTCTTCAGCAATATCGGTCCATTTTATTACACAGCACAGTTAATTTTGAGTCAATGAAGTCAAACATTTTCTCATATCGTTTTTTCCATACTCTCTCAGCTTCATTTACTAGGCTAAAAATTAGTTTAATAAAGCAAATAAACCAGCTTCAGATAAGTCATTTTTACCTTCAAAGAGGTTATGATGTTTGGCATTAGATGAGCGTACCCAGCGCACACAAGTCTGTCCTGGTTTTTGTATAATGAATTTAACTTTGCTTCTGTCTCTATTTTGTAATTAGCAGTGACGCTCGGCAACTTTCTTTCTCGCTGTAAAGTGGAAGGTGGTGTATGGAGTTGATTCGCCAGAGTGCTGCTCAATCACAGAGGAATAGTCCTGCCTTTGATGTTTAATTATATTGTGAAAAGAATATTTCTGCATAAAATTAAATTTTTCAGCTGAGCTTTCTCTGTTCTAAAGATCTGCTTTGGGCTTACGTGGTATGTACCGAACACACATTAATTATTATGTATGCTGTAGAAGTCTGCGTGTATGTGGCCGGAAATAGTTCTGAGAGTTGTGAATGTGCATTTGCGTGATATGAGAAAAACTATATTTTGCTGTGTATTTGTACACGAGCAGATGATAGAAAGCTGGTAGAGGCTGCTACAAGGAGGCTGCGATGACAGACAAGTCAGTGTGCGTGTGTACGTCGAATGAATGTGCGCAACATATCACGCTGCGAACATGAAAGAAGTGCTGTTCCAAAAAACAAAAATCAGATGAGTAAAGGTGACTCTTGTTTCATGTAACTCCTCTTCAGCTTTGGGTGGTCCAGCAGGGAGCCTCTTCTGGCCTTCCTCTCCTTAAATATCCAAGCACTTCCACTTTGGTCAGTATCCTAGGCAAATAGAGCACATTTTAAGCTAGATAAGAGTTCATAGAACAGTTAAAACAGTTTAGGAAAAGGTTCATCCCTACATTCAAGAGCTCATTTAATCTAGTCATGCATATTTGATGCAATCCAGCATTTCGTATACAGAGTGTATATGTGTTTTATTGGATGTTGCACTTCTGTTAGAGTTGGCGATTTAAAAATATGCAGTTTAAGAACCAGTTCAGAGATTTCACACTTCATGATTGTAATGCAAAATAAATAAATAAATACATCCGGTCAAGTTTCTAAGTCTTGATGGCATCCAACGTTTCTTGAACCATCTGGATATGTGTTTGCCGACTCCGTGCTTAAACACTGGAGACGGAGGGTGCATTTCATGATAAAGCACAGTGGCACAGTGTGTGCGTCTCGCTTCACAGCAGAGGGACCCATGGCACACTGGTGGACGAAGGCCAAAAAAGCGACAAAAAGAAAATCTTACAAAAAAATATATAATAAAATAAAAAAGACGAGTCGAGAGGGTAGGGGAGGGGAAAAATGCTGAAATATTTTCCAGCAAATGTAATTTATCTTTGTCAGTGGGGCAGCATAGCCCAGTCATTCTGTAAGGTTCTCCAGTGAGAGGGGGGACAGAGGGGTCTCTATGCCCCAGCTTCATATAACATTCATAACCCCGATGTCTCTGTCGCCGGAGCTGTCCGTAGCACAGTGCCGTGTGGCAAGGCATGTATTTTTAGCAATTTCTGCACTCACAATGGACTCGAAGGTCCTCTTGACACTTTCAAAGTGTTGCAACGCTGTGATTTTTATCATCATATACTGTTTCACGTGTTATTTTTTAGCTTGTTCGGTAGTAAACACAGGCCACTTCGTCTGACAACTGCCAGACTTGATTCAAATACGCTTGAACATAAAACTATGGAAAGAAATAAGAGTTTCTTTTCATTAGTGTGAGGTTGAGGTGTTTCATTCAGCCGAGCTAGCAAAGACAGCCTCTCAGGCGCTCGCAAGAGCAGCTCTCACGAGCGGTGGCCTGCCAAGCTACACACGTGTGTCTCTCTGCAGTCATCTGTGCCGTTCTCAACAGCGGCCTGTCAGCATCGGAGGCTGAAACTTCGGAAAAAGCGTGCAGCGCTGGACACTCGAGATTCGAGGAAGAGAAAGAAAAAGAAAAGTCGTGAAAACAGAAGAGGAGATGTGTCTGTGAGCCTGGCATTGTGACACTTAATGCCTTTATGTTTGTGGTGGCGTTTGCACAGGGTCCTTCAGCAGGCTGTCACCCACCACCAAAACAACCAATCAGACGAGCCAGTTCCAGCCATTGGCTGTCTGCTCCATCTTAATTCGGTTTTATTCTACTTTAAATGCCTGGTGCAATTAATTTCAGACTGTATAGAATAATATATTAGGATTTTATTTGTTCTTTTTTGCTGTGTTTTATATAAAACAATGGAGAAAGAAGATTTTGTTGCTTTGGATAAAAGCATCTGCTAAAATAATCAAAGCAATTGTATATGTTTTCATCCATAACAAAATAGTTTAAATCTTCCACAGTACAGAGATAACTATCATGTATATTTATCATTTTATATCTTTATATTATCTTAATATTATTTGTTTTCTATGGAAGCCCGTTTCCGCCACTGAATAAAAAAGAAAAAAAAGGTAATTGCGACTTTTTATCTCACAATTCTGACTTTTTTCACAGAATTGTGAGATATAAACTCGCAATTGCGAATTATAAAGTCAGAATTTTTTATTATATCTCGCAATTCTGACTTTTTTTCTCGCAATTCTGACTTTATAACTCGCAATTGCGAGAAAAAAAGTCAGAATTGTGAGTTTATATCACGCAATTCTGACTTTATTTCTCACAATTGCGAGTTTATATCTCGCAATTCTGACTTTATAACTCGCAATTGCGAGAAAAAAAGTCAGAATTGTGAGTT